TTTTTCTCATGTTCATTGCACTTGAGGTCGAAATGGTCGATTTGAGAATTTTTGAGAATCGAAACAACATCTTCTAATGAATTTTTGAAGTGTGCCTTTGATTGTTTAGGGCCTCACCTTTAATATAAACTTTCCATCTTGAAATGTGAATGTGGTTGTGTAAATGAGACCCAAATAACCATCTTCATTAAAATTCCATCATTATCGCATGCGCTGTAGAGAGAGAGATGGTCCATCTTTAGGAAGAGAGAGAGAGATTTGAAGTCCCAAGGCATGTCCACTTGCAACAAAGGAGTGTGGCTGCATGAAACAAGCAAGATTTATTCATGAGATTAAAAAAAGGGTGCGGTTGTATAGAGTTGAGGCTTTAAACAATCAAAGTAGAGCCTACCTTTTGATTTATTCAAGAGATTAAAAAAAGGGTGCGGTTGTATAGGGTTGAGGCTTTAAACAATCAAAGTAGAGCCTATCTTAAAATAGCGTCAAAAAATATAGTTTTAATATTAGAAATTTTTGTGATAGCTTTAAAATATATTTGTATTTCTAATTGTAAAATTTAAAGCTTTAAAAGTATTGTAGATCGAGTAGATCTATGAAAACTTGAAAATTGATGGTAAAAGAATGTATTATTGGACGCACTATTTTCAAAAGGAAAATTGTTTCATGCGGGTTCGACCGCATTTCTACGTATGCGGTCCAGAAACTGTAAAGCATCCATCTTAAAGATGGATACAAGTAGAGCCTAGCACTTTATATAAAATTTTTTCAATTATAAAATTTAATGCTTCAAAAATAGTGTAGATCGTGCAGATCTATGAACACTTAAAAATCTTGAAAATTAACAGTCCAGAAAATGCATTATAAAGTAAACTATTTCCAAGGCTTGAAATCTATTCTTTCTTATATTCATGCATCCTAGGGTCGAGATAGTCTCTTTTGAGTATTTTTTAGCATGGAATCAACCTCTTCTAATGAATTTTTGAGGTACACTTTAATTCGATTGTTTTGAGGCCCACCCCAATATGAACTTTTTCCATCTTAAAATTTGAATGCGGTTGTGTGTAAAAGAGAGACCAAAATGAGCATCTTCATTAAAAATTCCATCATTATTGCAAGGGCTGTCAAAAGAGAGAGATATTTGAAGTCCTAAGGCATGTCCACTAGCAACAAAGGAGCGTGGCGACATGAGACAAACAAGATTTATTCATGGGATTAAAAAAAGGGTATTGTTTCCGGCTCCACATTTGAGAGTTGATTGGTTTTTTATGCAAGACTTTGGAGACAGATCAAATCATATGATTTATATATACACAGGAGGAAATATATTTCGTATCCCAGAGGGTTAACATTATTCGCCCTACATTTTTTTAGGGTATATCTAGGGCTCTAAATTTCTCCCACACATTTTCTTGGTCCCACCAAAGATGGTAAGAATAAATTTAGAAAAAAAAACTAGAAAGTTGTTTAGAGCTGTGTTTCAAAACTCGGATTGGTAGGATGGATCATTCACCTTGGAGATCTTTATGTTGTATAATTTGATCGGCTCGAATCGATGATCTAAAAAATATTAAAAATTAAAATTAAAATAAAAATTTATTAAATAGAGATTTCAAAGATGAAAATATTAGAAACTTAAAAACAATAAAAAAATAAAAGAGGGGGTTTAAGTGGGAACTGGGCCACAACCAATGCAATCTCAAAACTAGCTTGGTACTGACCAATTCCCCATCTAGATTGCCTGACTTTAAAACGGTGTGAAAAAATGGTGAATACGGCCATAGATTGTCCCTTTCAGTAAAGAAAAATGGGTTACAGAAATTTTAGTAAAGGAAATTTAGTATTAGATTGATACTCTAGAGAATTTGTTTAATCTTAAATTTTATAAATTGCCTCAACATCATTAGATGAATATTTTCACAAAAATTAATTTTGAATTCTTACAGGCTAGCCACCTATAAAATACAAAACTCATGCCCTGTAGTCTACTTTCTGAGTCTTTTCTATGAACTTTTCCTTAGGTTTCTTGGATGGATTCACTATGTGCCAAATAGCTTTGGAGCCATCGAAAATCCCAGTGGAATAAAATATGGGTGTGGTTTGTGTAGAGCGAGGCTCTAAACAAGCAAAGTAAAGTGCACTTTCAAATAGTGTCGAGATATATACTTTCACTATTGGAAATTTTGTGATAGGTTTAAATATATTTTCATCTTTAATTATAAGATTTAAAGCTTTAAAAGTAGTGTAGATCGAGTACATATGTGAAAATTTTAAAATCTTGAAAATTAACGGTCCAAAAATGCGTTACAAGATAGACTATTTCCAAATTTTGAAATCCATTTTTTCTCATGTCCAGGCATCTTGATGCTAAGATGATTAATTTGATGATATATGAGCATCAAAACAACCTCTTCTAGTTAAATTTTTGAGGTGGGTTCTAACTTGATTGCTTAGAGCCTCGGCTCAAACTTTTTCCATAAAATATTAGTAGCAGGACCACATGTCGGGAGGTTTGTAGGTCTAATTTGGACCTCTACAATTATAATAACGATAACCATAGTAATAATAACAAGTATTTAATATTTGCCTATTTAGAATTATTCAGACTCAGGACCTAATGTTTATCTATGGTCATTTTGAAATTAGATCAAAAGATATAGGCAAAGCGTTAAAAGTGTTCATCTTTCGTGAGCAATTTGATAAATTTTCCTAATAGTAATAATAATAATAATTTAAACAATCAGCTATTGAATATTTCACTTATTTTGTTTAAGTGTAGTTAATATATCAACTATCCTAACTCATGATTATATGTATTTCGGCGAACTTTTTGAAATCAACAATTTAAGATAATGGGATACCAAATTGAGATATTCAACCCATGATTATCTCATGGTTAAGAATAATAATAGTAATAGTTTATAAAACACATTTACAATATCAACTATTTAATATTTTACTTATTTATCAAAATACAGTTGAGACATCAACTATGCTTTATTAAATTTCAATAATTAAGAGTTTGAGATATTGAGATACAAAATGCATGCAATTCAAGCATTTAACTAATTGGATACAAATTAGTCATTTAACAAAACATGTTAAATTCAGCTCTTGCATTTGTTACAAATGCTGAAAAAGCACCAAATTGGTCTAAGATATAGTTGAAAAATAGTCAAAATGGATCAGATTTAGCCCATTAAGATTCTGAGGTAGGGCATACATGGAATATTGGCTCAAAATTTGTATAAAGTCCTGCAAATTTGAAAACCGTGACCCACAAGCTAATAGTTGCTTGGTTTTTATGTGACATTGTAGCCTTCTGTGAGGATGCAATGGGGCCATTTATTCAAGGTGCAAAGCAAACCTAGTCTATATTCTCCATAGGTAGTGCCCTGCCCTTTCAGCATAGTTGCAATTAATTTGAAGCCCCATATTCCAGCCATACTGCTGGCCTACCAAAATAATTTACATATATTGATTGGAACTATTGTTAACAAGTAGACCCCAGCGGGCTCACCATAATAATTTAAAGGTAATTTACTTTGCAACTTGTATTTCACAATTGCATCCAATTTGAAAACACCCAAATGAAAAATATATACTTAAAACGGAATATATGCAATCAGATCATTTATTTTTGATACAAGGTAGTCACAATTAATTTTGACCAGTAGATGTGAAATTAGATGACTGCATTTATTCCATTGACCAGGCTTAAACTTCAAAAAAAGTTTTCTCAAACTTTATGACTCACCCAAACTATCAGATTTCACATCGCATAATTGTAATTAATTATAACCTCCTTTTATCAAAGGTAAATGGTCGCATTGTATACTATCCCTATTTAAAATTTCACCAAAGGGTTAGTCACACCCAAGGTTTGATATTTTTGGTGTCTCTAATTTTGAAGGAAAATTTCATAAAAGATGCATTTTTGAAGTATAGTTTTTCTTTTTTCTTTTTGAGTGTATACAGTAGTTTATTCTCAATAAAAACGTGCAATCACATGCAATTACAGTAACCCGCACTTACAGATACACGATGATATCTCTTAATCTACCATCAAAGAAACCTTGCTAATGTTCTTCAAGTTTTTTAGGACAAAAACGTTCATTTTTTCTTTAGGTAGGTGTACGGTAGGATTCAGACTTAACATGCAGTGTAGTAACTTAACCAATCAAGTCCAAAATTGTGAAAGTCTATTACCATTCGATGTCTAATATACCCGATATTACGAGCATCCCCTGAGCCCCCAAGCTTTCTTTTTTCCTATTAAGTTGCTCCTTGTCTGACAATGAAAAGCACCACACATGAGGGCAATGCAACAATCACAAAGTGATCCGATTTACGCATTACTGTACAACTCACCTTTGAAATACCGAACAATCATCTGGTATCTCCAAAACCCAACGAACCCCCTCTTCTTATTTCTCTTCTCTTCTCGCTCTCTTTCCTCTCTCTCTCTAACCTTTCTCTTCTCTTCTCGCTCTCTTTCCTCTCTCTCTCTAACCTTGAGCCTCTCTCTCTCTCTCTGCATAACAAGCATCTAAAACCACAACCTCGCAAATTTAACCCAAAGATGTCACAATCATTCTTGACTTTTAAATATCAAAATGGGTAGTTGTAAGAGTATCATTGAATAGACACGAAATTCATATAAAAAAAAAACAATTGTGACCTCTAACTTCGTGACTTACTCAAAACCATCCAATTTGACATCTAATGAGTGAGAATAATTGTACCCTTATACAAAAGATAAATGATCTCTATATAAACAAGTATTTTTTTGCCATATACACTCGTATCACTGTGAAAAATCCATACAAGCATTTCTAACAATATATCACCTATATTTTATGCACGAATAACAAAAATATGGCTTCAGATCACGAAGTCTTTTTTATAATGTTTTTTATTTTACTTCTTGATAATGAAATTTAGATCATGAAGTCATGAATGCAAATAGCGGTGTAAGCCCCTTAAATAGAAAATGCAAGCAATAATTATACTAAATTGGCTCAATTTAAAATAAAAAGATTTTCAATGTCACATGAGGATAGCATTTTCCTAAGACCAATAATCTTAGTAAATATATCTCTTTAGGTCACTAGGAGTGACTTCTCTCTTTGTATATTGTTAGAAGAGAAGCTTTGTTAATAATTTATGTACCACATATCCTCAACCATCCACCTCTCTCTTACTGATCCAGCTATAATTTTCATAGCCATTGCCCCATCCACACCCAAGGCATCTCAACCTGAAGATCTTAATGGCCCCTATAAAAACCCTAAGTCACTTTTGTGAACCTTTCATAATTTTAGCCTGCTCCCCATTTTAAAGCAACTCAAACATGGAAAAGGAATCACTGCAGACCCAGCAATGCTCATGCAAATGCTTAGGGCTCATGACTTGTATCGTTTCAAGTAAACCATCACACTGATGCCTGTTAACAAAACTGCACCTGCCAAAAGCCCAGAATGAAGAGATGTCCATCCCCGTCTTTCCATGACTTCAACACCCGATGTAGACTTTGAATGGGACTTCTCCTGGTGATCTGAGTAGTCAAGATGCAACCTCAAGACCTGCAAACAAAGAACAAAGAAATTCTATTTACATGATAAACACAAAGAGAACAGGTCCAAAAAGGATCAGAGGGAATACAGAAAAAGAACCAGGAGGGAGAATAGATAAGAGACAAAGTGATAACCTTTTATTGATAAAAAGTTGGTGATTAAATAAAATTAAAGGAGAGTAAAGAGTGATTAATTAGTCAACCTTATGCCCCCTCCCAAAAAAAGAGAGAGAGTAAAGATTGATTCACTTTATTGGCAAAAGAAATGTGAAATTAAATTGGAGAAGACCAAGCAAAGCCACAAAGAAAAGCATGAAAAAGCTCCATGTTCTTTTATTTCCCCCTGATAAGGGGCATTATATTAAATTAAGAAGTGTAAAACTTGTACAAATTTTTGTTGGTACAGCGAAGAGACTCCATAGGACAAGGGCCTTCACTTTATTGGCTAAAGAAAGGAGAGATTAAATTGAACACCAAAAGAAGCTACAGAGAGCACGAAAAACCTCCAGGTTCTTTTTTTTTCGATAAAGCAACATCATATCAAATTAGGAAAAAGTGTACAACTAGTACGAAAGATAATAATAGTCAGTGGAAGGTTACAAAAAATGTTAATGTATATTTGCGCAACTGTACAACATTGTTGTTAGTACAACCAAGAGACTCTATAGGTCAAGGGCCTTCACTTTATTGGCTAAAGAAAGTTGAGATTAAAATGGAAAAGACCAAGCGAAGCTACAAAGAAGAGCGCATGAAAAAGCTCCAGGTTCATTTTTTCTTTTCTTTTTTCTTTTTCTTCTTTCTTTTTCTTTTTTCTTTTTTTTGTACAAACAGCATCTATCAAAATAGGTAGAAGTGTACAACTTGTACGAAATAAAAGACAGTCAGTGAAGGTTATGAAAATGTTAAAGTATATTTGTGCAACAGTACAAAATTGTGGTTAGTACAACCAAGAGACTCGGACAAGGGCCTCCACGCATTGATGTTTCCACTCGCAGCCCATTTTCTGGCCAGGGTGTCCACAACAGAATTTGCATCCTCAAAGATTTGTCTTTTCCCTTCATAATTTGTCTTTTTAAAATATTTACTTTTTCCATTCATAGCTCATGAATTCTCTTGTGAAAATGGTGATTACCGGTTTTCTTCAAATATATCATTTGGAAATTGACATTTTGCACATTCATTCTCTTTTCCCTTCTTGGTCTAAGAGGGGTGAGGGCTTTAAACTGTCCCTTAACCCATCCCAAGCCCAGGTAAAAGAGTTGGGTTGCATTAGGTAGGCAGCCAGCGTAAAACTTTACCACATCTTATCATAGCCGACATCAATTAATTAAAATAAGGCCTGAATGATGATCCTATGGGGTGCTAGCAAGAATAAGTAGAAGTCCTCCTGAAGTCGTTGCATACCTAACTACATGTCCTTCCAAAACATAACTAGATTCCCTGTCTTATTGCAAATCTAATTACCAAGATAGCCCGGTTGATACCGATAACAACTTTCCATCCCCTGAGGCCTAGGGCACCTTGGGAAACCAACCCGAGGCATCGCCCAATACCTGTATTTGACTACCTGCTGCCACAAATGGCCTTTTCCCATGGCAAACCTCCACCACCATTTGCCCAACAAAGCCTTGTCACCATTGTTTAAAAAAACGGATTCAGATAAGACTTAACCCATTAAAAGGATAACTGAATATGTAAGACCTTAGTTTCACTTTCACATAAGACTTAAACCCATTAAGATATCACATAATCAATTATTGATCAAATAAAGTAAAACAAAAATAATAGAATATCAAAACACGACAAATTGTAGCAAAAAAGAATTAACTATTCATAAAAGAATACGATATATGCTGCTGTCCAAATGAGAAAAATTCAATTAATCACAAAAAATCAATCTTTTAATTACAAGCATATAAATATATCGTCAAAGAAAAAGAAAAGTAAAAGAAAAAACACATGATTCATAACATAATATGTTGTAGCAAAATAAAATCAAAACCCTCCTTCAAATATGATAATACTTCAAAAATATCAAAATCAAATCAATGTCGATGCAAACCTCGTCTATGGCCATAAGTTCTCAAAATCAACTACTAGAAGCTCCAAACCACCCACAAACTATTGCCTTTGTTTTGGAAAGAAATCGAACAAATAAAAAATTTATCGATCTTTCAATAAATCACAAAATTGTGGTTTTTGGGGGGGTTTTCTCACCCTAAAGGCCACGGTTTTTGTTCTGGGGATTTAAAATACCCCCTTAAACCCTTTCCCCCCTCTTCGGGGGGGGGGGGGGGGGGTGGGAAGATTACATTTTTTTATCCTCACCGAGGGTATTTTTCCGCTCGTCTGCAAAGTGTCATGGGGCAGCACCTAGGCGGGTGCCTAGACAATAGTGCCTAGGCGGCGGCTTGCCTACCTAGGCAGGCGCCCAGAGACAAGGTGCATAATGACTTCGCCCAAACAGCGCCGAGGCATTTTTTAAATTCTTTCACCTAGGCAGTTAGGCGGCAGAATTTTTTAATGCTAGTTGTCACAATACTCTTAACTTTTTGATCCCCAAGGCCCCCTCTCTTTTGATTAAGCATAGGGTTTATCATAAAGCCAGATGGAATTTGTGCTCACTCCGAGCCCCGTTCCATAGGAAATGTCTTATTCCTTTATCTAATTTATGTTTGACGGAATCGCTATTCAGGAAATGGAAAATTGAAACACGAGAATGCTTGCCAGAGTAGCCTTGATCAAAGGGATGCAGCCAGTGAAAGAAACTATCCAGCACTACAAGGCCGCCTATCTTTTTTCTAACTTTCTCATGACCCAGTCACAAAGGGCTTCTTGTCTTCCCCACAGACAATGGGAAACCAGGTATTTGGCAGAAAGCTTATCTACACAACCTAGTCCTTTTGCTACATCAAGGGTGCAATTTTTGGGAAGCCCAAGTCTCATGTTGATTGCCAAAGGGAGTTAACTTGGGCCTGACAGGTATCGCAAAAGAAGAGGGTATCATCTATGTATTGGAGGCAGGGGAGCCCAGGAGGCTGTGGTTGTTGTGGAGATTGGCGATGGAAATGCTGAAGATCTCAGCCACTACCAGAAGAAGGGGGATAAGGATTCTCCTTGACATTGTCCCCTAGAGGAAAATAAATCATGTGGATTTCCATTCATGAGGACTGAAAAGCAAGCTGACAAGAAGCATGAGGGGATCCACAATCTCCAACCGAACCCATCAAGGCAATGGACTGGTTCAGGGATCTATAAATCGATGATCATAGACCTTTCAAAGTCCGACTTGAAAAGCAAGCCAGGACTATTGAATGAGTTCCTTGCTTGGATGCACTCGTCGTCAATTCAAGCTCCATCAAGGAATTGCCTAGCTTGTATGAAAACGCACTGGTGCGCTTAGATAACCAGGTTTGAAACATGACACAAGCGGGTGGCCAACATTTGGGCAAGAATTTTGTAGAAACTCTTGATGAGGCTGATAGTACGACAGTCCTTTGGCTCATCGGGTCAAAGAACACAGGGAACATAGTTATGACATCTGCAGCTGATACAATGCCAAATTTGGTGGTAAATAATCACCGAGAAGCCATGAGGCCCAGGTGATTTATTATGGCCAAGGGCGGCTATGACTTTGAGTATCTCATATTTGGTGAAAGGCTGCTTTAACCATCTAGCCAATCACTCCGAGTGGAATTTAAAATGGAGATTGATCATCCTAAGTCAAGCAGAGAGGTCAAAATTAGAAGTCTATCAAGCAAGTTTGCAACAGTCTCCGCAACACGGCCAGAACCTCCAGATATTGTCTCCCTCTTTGATTTGCAGAACAATATTGCTCCAACAATTCAATGCCTTGTGAAGGGGAGTGGGTGTTTTGGTTCCTTAAGCCACTGGATGCAGAATCTTTGGGACAAGAATAGTTCCTCTAAATTGAGAACCATTTGGAATTCATCTTTCAGAAAGGTTGATCTTGCTCTCACATTGCCAGACGAGACACAGGACCATAATTACTGGAGCATCTATCTAAGGTGTCACTCCTGCTCACGGTTGCTTCAAGCGAGAATGGTGGCAGCGACAGGAGAGGGAGGCGGAGTGAAGGATCGAGATTAGAAATTTTATTAAAATATGAAAAAAACATTAAGTCTCCAAAATACAATAATAAATGGGCACACAAAAAATGCAATAAACAACAATTACTTATTTATTAAATAGTATTTAATTAATAAATAATATTTTTATTCCTTTCAGATGTAGTTTATGCAACAGTAATCTCACAAAATACAATAAAAAAGATATTATGATAAGATACATCGAGATAACCAATAACAATCCAAGGGAGCAAACTTTTTGTTGATGAAAACATCCAAAAGCATAACAACTTGTTCTATTTGCAAGTATACACTTCACAACATCCAAATGCATTAGAGAGAGAGATTAGGATCGCAACTAAGATCGAAACGGATCATTCTCTTGGCCTCTTGTAGCACCTTTGAGTGGCTAGGAGTGATCCCTGAAAAGGGGAGATTGAGATTCCATGGAGATACTTATCCTGAAGCAGGATCCATACATAGATTAGGAGATCCTATTTATTATGCTCCCGCTTATGGAATGCAATTTCCAAGGTTCGCGAGCTAGAACTCATTACCCATGTATTCCCCCTTTTTCTTGGAAACACTTTTTCCCTCCTTTCTTAAGAACTAACAACATTTTAAAATGCGATCGCATCGCTACATAAGCGCTGCATCAAGCGCTATGCGCCACCCAGCACATCACACTTTCCTAGATATGCGGTTTGAAGAGATGCGCCCGCATCAGAGCCGTATCCCGCATCGATCGCATCAGGCCGCATAATCTGTCCGCCATTTTTTTCAAAATTGTACCCCTTGGGCAGTGGCAATAAGGTCGTTTTGACCTTTGAAAATGGGGGAAAGGGTTTGGGGGGGAATTAAACCACCCAAACAACATTTTTCAGCCACATCCGTGGCTTTTATTGGATTAATTGAATAAAAA